AGCCTCCTTTTCTTGAGTTTATCAAGCACATTCCTTTGGGGCTGAAGCAAACCTGTATCTCCATCGATAGTGTCGGCACTACCTGCAAGTCACACAATAGAACTTAAAATGCTGAGGTTGGTGAAATTGATTGGCAAATCTGACCTGCTTGCCAAGGCTGTGGTCATTTGAATCACTCTCATGTGATTGCTGAAGTCACACTCATATGATTCTAACAGTTTCAGGGCAATCCCTCAACTGTTCTTACTGTGAGTACTCTTTGCACAGCACTCCCACAATACCAAAGCTATCATTCCAGTTTCTCCTGAAACCTCTCTTCTCTTCATCAGCGAGATGCTTTCAACTCCAGTCACTGTTTCTAATTCAGTAATAGTGTCGGCAGCAAGGGACTTGGCCTTGAGTGGGTTGCCTAGGGCCAGCAGTAGTGTGTGGGTTCTTGACTCCATGCAGGAAAGACTTCACAACATGGGTCCAGGCAATTTTTAGAGGATGCTTATTAAAGTTATACACAATTAAACAAGGTAATTTAATTTTTCTTTTTGCGGTAAAAGCACTATCCACCCTCTAGCACATGTTTAAGTGCACACCACAGTATTTTTAGCTGTAGGCTCCAGGTTGTACAACAGATCTTCCCAAGTCATTCATCCTGCATAGTTTTATGCCCTTTGACCAATCCTGCATAATTTTATGCCCTTTGACCAACATCTTTACATTTCATTTCCCTCATCACTGGGAGCCACCACTCTGCTTTCTTCTTCTCTGAGCTTAATTATTTTGGATTTCTCATAAAAGTGGAATCATGCAGCCCAGCTGGTGTGGCTCAGTGGTTGAGTGTTGACCTATGAACTAGGAGGTCATGGTTCAATTCCTGGTCGGGCACATGCCCAGGTTATGGGATTGATCCCCAGTAGGAGTGTGCAGGAAGCAGCAGATCAATGATTCTCCCTCTCCCTTCCTCTCTGAAATCAATATATATATATATTAAAGTGGAATCATGAGCCAGTCGGAGAAAGATAAATATCACATTATCTCACTCATATGTGGAATATAATGATCAACATAATCTGATGAACAAAAATGGACCCAGAGACAAGGTGGCACTGAGCAGACCGTCCAACCTCGGGAAGAAGGCAGGGGGCAACCAAGGGACTTGTATGCATGCATATTAGCATGACCAATGGACACATACACTGGGGCGGTGGGAGCTTGCCCTCGGAGGTGGGTGTGGGGGCGTTAATCAGGGAAAAAGGAAACATATAATACTAGAAACAAACGAACAAAAATGCAGCATTTGTCTTGTGTCTGGCATATGTCGTTTATCATAATGTCCTCCAGCTCCATCCATACTGAGAGGTTTCCTTATTTTTTATGGTTTGATAATTTCACATACAATGCAACCTGTTTGGGTGGAGTTCTGCTGTGCATCTGGCTGCTTTCCACGTGTGATTTATCAAATTGCTTATTCGTGGCAAATAGCACACCCCAACCTGCTGTTGTCCTACAGGACTGAGTTATTTTCTGGTGGGAGACAATGGAACAGTGAACCTGGAACCTTGTCTGAAAATCACAAAGATGCATGGAGGATATAGACAGATATGCTTGCCTGGTAGGGAACAGGAAGACTGGCTCTTTGGGGAAGCATAGCTGAGAGCAGGCAGCAGGCTCTCCTGAGTGTGGGAAACCTGGGGATGGGATGGCTGGGACAGATTTAAGAGCTCCCTCTGCTGGGGAAGGACATCAGCTCTGGGGACTTCTCTGAGGAAGATGGGCTGTCAGGGTCAAAGCAGCCTTCTCTCCTTCCATAAGCATTACTCATCCAGCGAGGCCCTCAGGCTTAGCTCATGGAAGCATACTCCAAGCTGATGCCTGGGGTCTCTAAGCAATTTTTCTTTATTATCAGGTATGAGGATTTGACTCTTTTCTGGATCCAATGTGGCCCCAGAAACCCTACTCAAGCACCCACCTCATGCCCTTACAGGTGAGTGACTTTGCCATGTGATTGGCTGCATCCAAGCCAAGGGACTCACGGTAACTGCGCTACTCAAAGTGGGTCCAGAAACCAAGAATATCACTACCTGCTGGTTTCTGGTTAAGAAGCTAGCCCTCCAGGCCTTCCCAGACCTAGTGTGTCAGAATCCTGGGTTAGAGACGAGGGCAGGGATCTGGGTGTCCACAGGCCTTTAGGGGTTATGGTTAAGGTGACCAGATTTTAACATTGGTAAAGCGGGACACCATTGACCTCAGGGTAGGAGGGAGGGTTTTTTATTAAAAATTTGGTCTATATGGAGCAACAAACATTTTCATAGAACGCAAAAATAGTATTGTAAGATTTTTAAAACACTGCGGGACGCGGAACAAATTGTTAAAAATCTGGACTGTCCCGCCAAAAGCGGGATGTCTGGTCCCCTTTGAAGTTCACAAGCAGCTGCACACAAATGCTGGAGGCCTTATTCATGACACAGAGCTGAAGTTTGTTTGCAAAGAGAATGTTATTTAGTCGTCCAAGAGCTGCATTCCAGCTTTAGCCTTGGATGTCCCTTCCCCAGAAACTGCACACAGCAAATTGTGCTCGCCGAGCTGTGACAACTGTGGCCACCAGAGGGCACCAATGGTCACCTACTGTATATAGCTCATGGATCCCTGGAGCTCATTTGGTTCACTCTTCTGTTTCACTCTCACTTCGTCTAGTCTAGAAATAAATTCCTACAAAGAAAACCACAGGTGCAGTGCATATCAGGACAGCCTCCTGTAAACCCCTCTGGAGAGAAGGCATTTGCTCATCCAGCCAGGTCCTCAGCTTAGTTCATGGAAGCATACTCACAAGATGAAAAGTAGTGCAAAGAGTGAGGCACTGAGCTCAGTTTCAACCTCCAATATTCCTCTGTTTCAGAAGCCACAGGGGACCTGAGGAGCCAGAGTGACAAGGAAACACTGGGGCCCATAAAATCCTCAATATGCCCCTTCTGTACATTTCTAATCTACCTAATAAAAGACTAACATGCTAATTAACCATACCTTCATGACACTCGCCAGCCAATCAGGAGTGAGTATGCAAATTAACCCACCAAAGATGGTGGGTTAATTTGCATATGCAGGTGCTGAGCTGCTGGGGATAGGGCAGGACACTTGCCACTCTGGGCCTCTGGGCAGTGAGGGAAGGCAGAAAGGCAGCTCTAGCCAGAGTGAAGGCAGGGCCAGCAGCCAGGGGAAGGAAGGCCCATTCTTACACAAATCTTTGTGCATCGGGCCTATAGTAAATATATATTCATCACTAGGCAGGTTGCCTCTTATCACCCACCAATTGGCCCTGAAAACCTATCCTTTTTGGTTCTGCTCCTCCTTGTCTTGCTGACCTTCACTCTGTTACTGTGTCTGGGGATCCCCTTCCATTTCTACCTCTTGCACTTGGGTCCTTATTTCAGCCTCTGGTTCTGGGAAGTCAAAGTGAAGTCTTCCTTCCCCACAGAGGCCCTGACTGAGGGAGTCCCATGGCTGGGATTCAGCTACAGGGGACCTCTTCTGTTGCTGATCCTTCCCAACCCACCCTGCCAGGGCCTTGTTCCTCTCTCCTGGACAGGAAACAATGTTAACTGCGTTGGAGGGAGGAAGGCAGGGTCATAGGTAAGGTTATCCTTCATGATATTATCCCTGATAGATGTGTAAAATGCTTTAAACATGATTGTGGAATTGTCGGTTTGACCTGTAACAGCACCAATGATTCTGTTGGCTGTTCCAGCTCTACATGTTGTTTGGGTGCAGGTTTGTGGGTATTAGAGCTTTCCATTGAATTATTTTTCTTATTATCACATAACCTACAATTGTATTGCTACAAATGCTTTCAGTTCTCGATCCAACCCTGTTCCCAGTGTGCTGCTCCTGGACCTCCCAGCTGCAGAGGTGGGAGGGAGGGGGCATCTAGTATCAGGGTACTGGCCCTGGACCCAAACCACCCCTTGCCTGTCTATACAAATAAATTCCTATTGGAAGAAGAAAACCACAGGTGCAGTGCATATCAGGACAGCCTCCTGTAAACCCTTGCTTGTGTTCTCATTGCCCATGGTGCTTTCCAGACACAAGGTGACATTAGAGAGTGGAGAAAACTACATGCCCACAAAAGCCCAATAGTGACTGCCTCTGCATGGAAAAAATTTGCCAAATCCTGTTCCAGGCATTTTGGCCAGAATCCCAATAGCACATGACACAGGCGTTAATGCTTCTCAGTCTTTAACTGGCCCTGGGTTCCTGAGGAATTTGTAAAATGCAGTCTCCTGCTGCAAAGGTAGCCATTTACAAATGGCACTCAGTCAACGGTGATGTTGGCCACTCCTGACATGTTCCTCCTCCCAAAGGCAGGAAAGGGCAGTGGCTGCAGAGCAGGAAGAGGATATCCTGCAGACCCTGAGAACATACATCTCCGAAAGGGTCTTAGAGCTGCCACTGCCACTGGCCTTGCTTGCTCTTTGAGTGGAGGCTAGAGTCCCCTCCTACATTGTCCCAGCTGTCATGGACCAGGAAATGTGTGTGAGCGAGTCCCCATGAACAGAAGCCACATGTGCCCTGAGGGTCCTGAGGCCCTGTCTGCAACCATCCTTCAGACCAGGGTTCCCTACTTTGGTCATGGTCATTGCCCCTCAGGGGACATGGTTATCCCTCATGAGCCCTGAGCTAGCAGCTCAGAGGCGCCTTACTTGTGCCACCTGGACCTGGCTTAGGTTGTGCAAGAGGAGGGACAACCCACCTCCTTGGGCCACTACGCTGCCCAGAAACTGCCCATCCCCCTCAGTCAGGAACCATGACACACAGTGCCTTTTGAAATGCTGATGTTTAATGGACTACTCTACATGAAAGAAAATGGACACTGAGGAATTTCCACCATGCCCGTGTGTGAGGCTCCAGATATCTGCAAGGCAGAGAACAGAGTGAATTCAGAGCTGCTCAGCCACAGAAGGGCCTCCTACAGAGAAGGGGGGTAGAGAGGCTGGGCTGGAGCGTGATATCACTTAGTAGGTCCCCTCCTGGCAGGTCTTATTTAGGAGTTGAAACACTGTTCTCCAGGGCTCGATGCTGATGGTGAAGAAGCAGATGAAGGTCTGAGGGAATAAGCACAGGAATGAACTGTGGGTGATGAAGCCTGGGGAAGCTGTGACTTCCCATACTTGCATCTGCAAGGTCTCAGTCTAAGTCTCCTAACCCCAGGGTCTCCTGTGCCACTCTGCTCTCCCCAGGAGAACCCCTGGGCTGTCCCACAGTGGCCCCTGCCTCAAATACAGCAACACATGCTCCTTCACAGTGGCCTTACCTCAAATAACCCTGATCTGATGTGGGCTTGTCCTAAAGCAGGGGTTCACTTTCACTTCTCCTTCCCACCCCCACCCCCAGGCAGGAACTTCAGCTCAGCAGGGCCTGGGGCAGAGCATGGGACATAGGACAGTGGGCTCCTCTCACCCAAACCCCATCAGCTCTGCTCAGTGACAGGGGGACCTGAGGACTGGCCACTCAGTCAACGGTGATGTTCGCCACTTCTGACATGTTCCTCCTGAAAGCAGGAAAGGGCAGTGGCTGCAGAGCGGGAAGAGGACATTCTCTGGCCAGAATCAAGAAACTCGGATCGTAGGAGCAGGAGCAATCTGTCACTGGTATGGCCCGAGGTTCAGACAGCTGAATGGGGAGAATGGACAGTCGGGATCTCAAACTGGCCAGGGTCCTGCTAGTGGACCCTGAGGCTGATCTGAGAGGTTGGGCTCCATCTTTAGCAGAAGCAGTGGCTGTAGTAGGGCCAGTAGCCCCTTTCCTCTTGTGTCCCTAGGAATGGTATGTCCTCTGCTCCACCCCCCACAATATCCCATGCAGGTTCATAGCGATGGAACCTGAAGGAGGTTCATGTGTGTCTTACGTTGTTCAGCTCTGGGTTTTCTTCAAAGGGGCAGTTGTCAATGTCTTCATCAAATTTCCCACACCTGGTTCTGCGAAGCTTCAGCTCCATGGAGAAAGCCATCATGGTCTCTAGCTGTGGTACATGAAAGGGGAAACAGCCCTCATGGTCCCATTAAGTAGTTGCTAGTGGAGACACATGGAGTGTAGGAACAGGCCCAAACCCTACTCTGTTTGGGGCTTCCCTCTGGGTCTGGATCAACACACTTGTGTTAAAACTACACTTGGGATGTTCTGGACAAAGAGATACATAGACCGGTGGAGCCTCTGGGGTAAAAGCAAGCTGGTCACACACTATTAATATCATACACTGCAGCCTCACATTTACAAATGCCAAGTGAGGTCCCACCTTTCTTTTCAATGCTTCTAGCTTCCACAGCATTCCCAGAGACAGGTGACAAGGGGCTGGGAGGGTGTTGGCCCGGCAAGAGTTTGCTTGATCATCTCAACCCTGGAGTGGGAGACTCATCTATAGCCCCATTGTCACACCCTTCCCCTGCCCAACATCAGAAAAATGCCAGACAATGCTAGTGAAACCAACCCCCAACCCCCCAAACACACCAGACAATGGCTTCAAGAAACAACTTCTATTACAAAGTGCACTGTGACATGTTCTGTACTCTTCTCCACTCCATTCTACTCATTTTAGTCCATATTCCCCCACAGCATCCACTCCATTATCCCCAGCATCCAAGCTCAGTCTGTGTCTCTGGGTATAAAAATCCCCACAGAGGTCCAGCCTGATAGAGCCCAGGGTGCCTGAAGCAGTGTCACAGAGGGTTAAGGTCAGTGGAGGATGGGGACCCTTTGCCCCTCATGTGGACTCTCAGTGCAGAGGTCCAGAGGATGAGAGAGTAATGTCCCAGACACACACACACACACACACACACACACACACACACACACTCTCACACTCTCACACACACTCACACACTCACACACTCACACACTCACACACACATTCACACACTCACACACACTCTCACACTCACAAACACACACATACACTCTCACACACATTCACACACATTCTCACACACACACACTCACACACACTCTCACACTCACAAACACACACATACACTCTCACACACACTCACACACACACACATACTCACACACACTCACACACACATTCACACACTCACATGCAGAGCCAGAAGTGCTTCTTTGGGAGAGTGTTTTCATTGTTCATGTCTGCAGCCCAAATGAAAATGGCATTGCTGGTTGCATTCGGAAAGAGAGTCCACGGCAATGAGAACCTTTAAGGATTAAAAACCACGGTCTGGGGAAGAGTGTAAAATCACATCAACCCACAGAGGTGGATACCACAGCAGGGAGCCCAGAGCTCATGGAAGCCACAGCAGAAGCCCTGTTTTACTTTATTTCCTTGAACTCTTTCATCACTCTAACTTTTTAAGCATTTTCTCTGTGTGTCTGTCTCTTCCTGACTAAACATCTTTATCTTTCTCCCTGCATAGACTACATTTTGATGTCATTTTTCACTAACCGATGACATAAAGATTGAGGAAAATCTTTATGTGAGTAGACATTGATCTAATTTTTAAAATTTCCATGCAAATGCTTTTATAAAATCTGAAAATGAATAGTTTGTATATGTTATTTTATAAACTTCAAATGGCATACGGGATCCTTTGGTAGGTCCCCTACCTGTTACCCTGACTTACAAGTGAAGGTTAGCAGGGCAGGAAGATGCAGTCACCTACCTTCTTCTCACTCTGGGAGTCCAGGATGCTCACCAGCCTGTAGGCATTCGTGTCCTTGCTCTTCACATTGAATATGTGTAAGGCATACTCCACGGTGGCCAGGAAATAACTTTCCATGCCTGGTCCTTCATCGATAATACTCCAGCCTGGGACCTGGGAACCTGCGAGAAGCAGGAACATGACCCAGGCAGAGCTCATCTCCATTGCAGGCACCTCAGAGGTCAGGCAACCAGCCACCCGTAGCCCTTCTGGCTCAGACTCCACCAAGCTTTCCTGGGCAGTGGTCCAACTAATCTACCCCATGATGTATCCTTCCTTTGAGCCTCCTCTCTGCTGCTATGCCCTGTCCCCTCCCACATGTGACCCTGCCTCCTCTGTCCAGTTAATATTGTCTCCTTTCCAGGACAAAGGAGCAAGGCCATGGTGGGGTGGCTTGGGAAGGATCAGTGATAGGAGATGAGGTCCCCTGTAGCTGAATCCCAGCCATAGGACTCTCTCAGTGCCTCAATGGGGAAGGAAGACTTCACTTGTTTGCTCCAGAACCAGAGGCTGTAATGAGAGCACAAGTGCAAGATATAGAAATGGAAGGTGATTTTCTGACACAGCAGTGGAGTGAAGGTCAGCAAGACAAGGAAGGGCAGAGCCAAAATGAATGCGTTTCCCAGAGCCAGCTTCATGGGTGAAAGAAGGCAACCTGTGTAGTTACCTGGGAAAGGGCACCAACACCTGCCTGAGAATTGCCAGCCTGAATTGTGGCCACTGGGGAGGGGTGGATGAAGCCTTGGGATGAAGGCTGGACACAGTTTGTTTTTCTTGTTGCTTTGCGTCTGACGCACTGACACACCAACCTCATGCCAAAGAGATGTGAGAGTCAGTTGAAGCTAGCCAGCACTCCTCGAACCTGATGTAGACAGGATGTAGAGGTTTGGGCAGAGTCAGTGGTAGTCCTAAGAATCCCAAATGCCAAGGGACAGGGACAGACACAGGGACTCACGAACAGGAACAATGCACATATTCAGTACCAGCTGAACACAGCTAGTCATACTTAGATCCTTCCTGTGACAAAACTCCAGATGATTGTATGAGCATTATTGCAAATTTAACCATGTCAAGGTCCATGGCACTCCCATGGGCTTTGCAGCAAAATACAGTTCCAGGAGCTTCGGGGTAAACAGATAACCTTGAGTTGTTGCCAGGACAGGAAATGCAGAGGGTGAGTGTATGAGCATGGGTCTCTTTTCAAGATGGGCTCTAGCCTGAAGGTGCCTTACAGCCTTGGACATAGGCACATCTCCAAAACGGAGGGACTCAGTCCCTTCTCTGTCTAGCATGCCCACCTGAGTCACTTAGACGCTCTCTCATCATCATCTGGAACATTTGTTACCCACTTAACAAGGTGCTACTGTCAAGTGTAGAAATGTATCGATCGCATTACAAGCCCCTTATTGTGGGAAATTCTTTCTCATATATTTCTAGTCAAATGGCAACTGAAAGAATGTTCTTATAGCAATGGGGACATGGTTGGATCTAAGGCTTAAAACATCTATAGCAATACAATTGCACGTTATGTGATAATAAGAGTAACATTTCAACAAGAAGCTCTGATACTTATGAACCTGTATCCAAACCACACGTGGAGCTGGAATAGCCAACAGAATAATTGGTGCAGTTACAAGTCACACCAGCAATTCCACAATCACATTGGGAGCATCTTACACATCTCTCAGGGATGATATCAAGACAGATAAACATTATAAAGAATATAGCTGAGTTGAAAGATGCAGTTAACTAGTCTACTGAAACAATTTTCTGAAAATTCTTATACCCAGTATGGAATGTGGGTTTTTAAGTAATGAAGTGATAATCATAAAATGATAGTATTAAAAATGTTACAAATATTTCTTTGTGTCTTCTTCAATATGTTTTAATAATGTCTTACAGTTTTTAGTGTATAGGTCCTTCACACCCTTTGATAAAACCATATTTGTGGGTTGGGAAAATTGACATAGTTAAAAATGGCCATAATACCCAAAGCAATATACCCATTTAATGCAATCCCCATCAAAATTAAACAAACAAACAAACAAACAAAAAACAGAACCAAAAAAAGTCATAAGATTTGTATGGAACCACAAAAGACCCCAATAGTTAAAGCAATCCTGAGAAAAAGAACAAAGTTGGAGGTATCACACCCCCAGACTTCAAATTATACTACAAAGCTACATAATCAAAACAATATGGCATTGGCATAAAAAATGCACAGACCAATAAAAGAGAATTGAGAGTCCAGAAACGCATCCACATGTATATGGGTAAATAATTTTTGATGAAAGATACAAGGGGGGTGGTAAGGGATAAGTTTCTTCAATGAATGGTGCTGGGAAAATTGGAAAGCCACATGCAAAAGAATAAAGCTAGACTGCTGTCTGTCACCAGATACAAAGTTAACTCAAAATGGATTAAAGGCCTAAATGTAAGACCTGAAACAATAAATTACATAGAAAAAAAACATAGGTACTAAACTTTTGGACCTTGGCCTTAAGAGGATTTTGTTCATCTGACTTCAAAGGCAAAGAGAAGTAAAAGCAAAAATAAATAAATGGGACCATATAAAATTAAAAAGCTTCTTCATAGCAAAAGAAACTGTCAACAAAACAAAAAGGCAACGAATCAAATGGGAAAAGATATTTGGAAACAATACTTCTGACAAGGGATTTTAATGTCCAAAATAAAGAACTCATACAACTCAATACCAAAAACACACAAACTATTCAATTAAAAACTGGGCAGAGGACCTGACCAAAAGACATACAAATTGCCAAGAGATATATGAAAAGATGCTCAACTTCACTAGCTATTCGGAATATGAAAATTAAAGCTACAATGAACTATCACCTCACACCTGTTAGAATAGTTGCCATCAAGAAGACAAGTAGTAATGTATGTCGAAGAGGTTGTGTGGGAAAAGGCACCCTTATTCACTACTGGTGGGAATGTAAACTGATATAGCCACTCTGGGAAACCATATAGAAGTGTCATAAGAAAATTAAGAATGCAATTACTATATGACCAGCTACCTCTTCTGGGTGTTTATCCCCCCAAAATGAAAAACATTTATTTGCAAAGATATATGCACTTCTATGTTCATTGCAGCATTATTCACAACGGCTAAGACATGAAAACAACCGAGTGTCCTTTGAAAGATGATTGAATAAAGCATATGGGTTACAAATATACAATGGAATACTACTCAGCCATAAGAAAGGGCAAAATATTGCCACTTGGGAACATGAATGGATTTTGAGAATATCATGCTAAACAAAATAAGTAGACAGAAAATGTCATGGACCATCTGATTTCATCCATATGTGCTCTATAAAACTAAAAGCAACAACTGAATGAGCGAAAAAGACAAAATAAACAAAACCTCATAGGCACGGACCACAGTATGGTGGTTACCAGAGGGAAGGGAGAGAAGGGTAATAGAAAATAAAGGGGGTCAAATATATGGTGACAGAAGGAGACTTGACTTTGGGTGACACAAAATATAATACATACGTGATGTATTATAGAATTTCACACTTGAGACCTATATTTTTTTATTAACCAATAAATAAGTTAAATAAATTCAATTAAAAATGTTACAAACATACTGGCAATCCAACAATAAAACTATAACTGAGAAGTTTTGAATTAATGTATTTTAATCAAATTTGTAGTAAAAATATATTAGTAAATTATCATTAAATTGAAAATAATTTAATTACTTTCATAATTGAAAATTAATTTACTGCCAAAAGAGAGTACAATAAATTGATCATAAATGAGTTTGTAAGCTAATTACAAATTTAATTAGCAGTAAAACCCACCAAATAGTGAACAGATAAGTAAAGCATGTTGCTATGTAAGTTAACACCTTATACCCTTAAATATCTCCTCTATTAATTATTTGTAAAGAACAGATATAGTGCATTTTTAAACTTGTCAATTGAAACTAATGTAATGTTACAGGAAATTTTATACTTATAAATGTATTTATTAAAAAGGCAGATATTAGAAAAATCAGAAAGATGAGATTAATGATAAAAATACAAAATTCTAAAATAAAAATAGGTCAGGTAATAAAGTAAAAGCCAAATATTGGGTGGGAAGAAGTAGGCAAACATTTAGCAAGAACTATCAGGAAAACAGAGAGAGAGAATATAAAACATCATTAGTAATAAAGGGCAGACCATGAAAGACACAGAATAAATATTAACGTGCATGTAAAAACTATTTCAGAGTAAAAAGTTTTAGACTTGACAGTAAAGCATGATTCCCTAAAAGAAAAAACTTAATAAATTAGTGGTTAAAATTATAAAACTTTTGCTCAGTAAAAGTTTATGTGAAGAGAAAAGAAAATATTTGCAAACTACATATTCCACAAACAATCCACATGTAGAATTATAAAGGATTCTAAAAACTTAACAGTTAAAAATAATAAATCTCATTAGCAAAAGCTATAAACAGACATTTCACCTAAGAGGACATACAGATAGCAAGTAAAAATATATAAGTACTAGAGGTCCAGTGCAAGAAATTCTTGCACTGGAGGGAGGAGGGATACCTCAGCCCAACCTGTGCCTCCTCACCATCTGGGAGCCCTTGGGGGATAGCCATCAGTAGGACAACCTTAGCGCTGCCGCAGTGGTGGGAGAGACTCCCATCACCACCGCTGTGCTCACCAGCCATGAGCCTGGCTTCGGGCTGAGTGGTGCTCTCCCTATGGGAGCACCCTGATCATTGGGGGAAGCTCCTGCATTGAATATCTACCCCCTGGTGGTCAGTGCGTGTCACAGTGACTGGTCATTCCTCCATCAGGCCAAAATCAGCTCTCTGACACCCCCTGAGGAGTCCTAGATTGTGAGAAGGTGTAGGTTAGGCTAAGGGACCCCACTGGTGCATGATTGGGGCCGGGAAGGGATGTAGGAGGTTGGCCAGCCAGTGAGGGACTGTGGGAAGGCTCCAGAGCATGTCCAGCCCATCTCGCTCAGTCCCGATTGGCTGGATCCCAGCAGCAAGCTAACCTACCACTCTGAGTGTCTGCTCCATGATGGTCAGTGCATGTCATAGCAACTGGTCGACCAGTCAACTGTCTGCCCCCTGGTGGTCAGTGCACATCATAGCAAACAGTTGAGTGGTCTTAGCATATCATTAGCACATTG